TTTCTTAATTGCCGTTGGCTTTAACTCTTGATAGTTGTAGGCACTATGTGTACTCTTTGTTAGGAATTATGTCTCAAATTCCAATTATTATTAGTTTCTATTTTAGAGTATACTTTTTATGGTAATTTCTTATAAAGACATGAATTGGGCTTTTAGAAATTGTAATCCTTGGCCACAAAGGAATTAGGTATATGACTCTATAAATAAACACTTAGGCTATTGTTGAGAGTTATGAGCTGACAGAGATGTAGCCTCATGAGAGAGTACGTTGATGGTAGAGGTGAGTTACGGGTTTGGTAGAGTGAACACTGATGGCGAAAAGGACTCTCGTGGAGTACACGGAGAACTTGGTCAAGAGTTTGTGTGCATGGTCCGATGTTCAAATTCTTTATTATTGTAATATCTCTACATATATAGTGAATCTCTTCTCATTCGTGGATGTAACCCTGATTTTGGGTGAACTACGTATATATCTTGTGTTGTGGTTTGAATTGTTGTTTTTCTTTCTTTCTTTTGCTTCCGCTGTGCCCCAACAACTAGTATTAGAACTAAAGGTGAAGGAGATCTAGAAAATACAAAAAGTCTCAACAATAATAACTTGGTGTATAGGATGTAAAGACATCCTCTCAAGATGTAGCATGAATAGAGGCGCCACTATCAATAACCCAGGTTTCATGGCATACAATATTAATAGCATTATCATCATAAACAATGAGGAAGTCTTCAGAAGTAGTGGTGGTATCTCAATCATCATCATTCTTTTTCTCATTCCCTTTCCCCTTGTTCTCTCTCTTCAACTTTTTGCAATATTTCTTGATGTGCCCCTTCATGCCACAATGATAGCACTCAATATTAGTAAACTTGTTGGACTTGCTTCTGCTTTTATCATTATTCTTCTAACATTTGCTCTTACTTCTCCCCCAATTTTCTGTAACTAAAACCTCTGACTATGAACTGGATCCCTATGATTTTTTTCTCATCTCTTCATTCAAAACACTGCTCTTAGCTAGATCCATATTGATTAAGCCATCCGGAGCTGAATTAGATAATGACATTCGGAAGGTCTCCCATGAGTCCGGCAATGTACCAAGTAGACATAACCCCTGTACCTCAGCATCAAACTTAATACCCATTCTAGCTAGTTGATTAATTATTCCTTGGAAAGAGTTTAAGTGATCTGTTATTGGAGTCCATCTTTTGTTTTGTTTCGTTTACTATGTGCTTAAGCATTGTTGTACTTCTCTTATTTCAAAATTTTTACTGTCTATGGCATTGTAACGTTGTAAAGGAACAAACATTTAATGCATTGTTGTCTTTTTAAAATTCTTAAATTAGATGGTGTTAAAATAAATGTGTAAAATTGACAATTTTTTACGAGATGTCGATATGGGATTCTCTGCGGTACAACATTTACTCAACAGATTTTGTTTCATTTATTTAACGGATTTTAGCTCACACACATATGGACCACAAAGGGTAACATTCATTAAATGTGATATAACACTTGTACAGAATTCCCAACTCATGTCATACTTAATTATTATGTTGATAGAAAAATATGTGGAAGGGGGAAAGGAGGGACAGATGAGGCCAAGGTAAAACCCACCCCCAAAATTTTTTTATTTTTATTTTTTAGTATAGACAATTTTAGCCCAGTCCAAAAAAATATATTTTTTCTAGTATTAGCCCACCCCATTAATAATTCCTGGATCTGCCTTTGGATGAGGCAATTTGTGTCGCATAAAGAAAAATGCATTTACTCTTCTAATGGAATATAAATGTTAAAGATTTTTTCTTCCAATTTTTTGAAGAAAATCTTAGAATTTTATTTGTCCCAAATTCACATCTTGTGATTTTTAGGGAACAAAACATGGTTAATCAATTATGTATTTAACCAGAAGATGTACAAATTCGTCCTCCTCAAAAACCTCAAGTCTCGCCTATGATGTTTCTAATTTTCAAAATTTTTCATTTTTCTGGAAGTTTCGTTGGTGCAAGGGTATTTCTGTCTTTTCACTTTTGCGTGCGGGCTTTTTATTGGGTCCATTTGCATTTCATTCATTTTATTCTATGTGAATTATGTGATATTGTGTGGTGGTGCATTATATATATTTTGTGTGGTGTAGAAATTAAAGCAAAAAGAAAAAGGAAAAAGAAATTCAAAGTGGTGGGACCCACCACAATCTCAAAAGTGGTCTAGAGACCACATTTCCCTTCTCATTTTCTCTCTCCCCGTAAGTTTCTTCCCCTCCTTCATTTTTTCTTCATATTTCTCTTCTTTTGGTTTCAAGACTTCAAATCTTGATTCCAACCTCATTTCTTAGTGATTTTAAGTGTCATTTGAGGCAAAACAGAGAACACGACGAGCTCTACGCGTGAGTAGCAACAATTTCAGATTTGGTGCTCTCTATGGATTTTGAATTTGGAGACCCATTTCAAGGGTTTTGCTCAATCTTGAGGTAGGGGTTCTTAATTCATGTTATCTTGCTCCTTGGTGAATTATATCTCCTAAGATGTTGTAAGCATGTTTAATTTGAATGTTAACTATTTTAAAGATCTTCTAAGTGTTGTTTAGAAAATACATGATTATGTATATGAGTTGTTTGGTGTGAAAAGCATGCTTAGATGTTGTTTGGTTGTATAATGTGTTGATAAATTACTTGAGATGATGCTATGACATTGCAAGCATGGGACATATACATATGCATATCATTGGGTTTTCATTAAGGAAATTGTTGTGAAATAAAAATGGGAATTTTTGGGAAAAGTATTTTGACAAATTGGTTTTATGGAAACCCGGTCGCCGTGGGGATACCAAAGGGCCGGAGGGTTAATATAGCCTAGAGGGAATTAGGGAGATTGCCCTGCGTGGTTGAGCTAGCTGGGCCCAAAATGACGCCACGGGGGTACCAAGGGTCAGGGACACTAGCCAATCCTTCTCTCGTGTCGTTGCGGAGTCACCAAAGGGTGGGTTATATTAACCGTTTGAAAGTGATGGTTTTGGAATGAAAATGGAGAGCGACATTGGCATGCATTGCATTTCATTGCATTGTATTGGTTATATTGAATTTGTTATTATGTTGTGTATCCCCGACATGATATGACCCTGTTTCCCATTACTCTATTCTTTGTATGGATTCACGAGGACACAAGAGGCGTGTCTTAAGTGCTACCTACTGAGCGATTCGCTCACCCCATTATATTCTTCATTTTGCTCAAGTTACGGCAAAGAATTGGAGGATGAAAATCCACCGTAGGCTTGAGAGAACTTGAAGAGCATTTTGAATGTATTTTGATGAATTTGAACTTATTTTGTAAGCACATAATGTAAATGTATTAGGTTCATTTGGCTTGTATATGATAATGTGACTCGAACCTTAAAATCCATTTTGAAGTAAATTGATTATAATGTAAAGTTTGAGTTCATAACTCCATGTAGTTGATCTCAATGATTGTTAATTTGATTACGTGTTGGTTCTCTTGTCTATGACCATAGAGTAACTTAGGATTGATGATTTGACTCGAGATTAAACCATTGCAAAGTCTCCATTTTATTTCCCCTCTCATCTTCATAAGGCAGCAGGTCAGATTCAGGATGCAAGGCTCGACGAAGCCACTTCGGTCGACCGAAATAGTACATCGGTCGACCGAACCCCTTTGTGGAATCGCGAGAACTCCATTTCGGTCGACCGAAATAGGGTTCGGTCGACCGAAACTTTCACATGCTCTCAGTATCTCAGCTTCAGTTGACCGAAGCAGTGTGTCAGTCGACCAGTTCTTGGAGGCCTGCTTCGGCCGACCGAAGCTCCACTTTGGTCGACCAAAATGTGCCTGTTAGGTTTTCTTTGTTCCTTCTTCCTTTGTAATCCACTCTTGATTCTGGAGAATTACTTAGAACCTTAGGAATGTTTAATTTTGATCCTAATGAGCATGTTTTGACACTTGAAATGTTAGGTTTGACGTAGATGACCTCGGGTTCGAGTAAGGACCCGGCTAACGGTTCGGACCCCCGAGTTCGGGTCGTTGCAGGAATGGTGTCAGAGCGTGGTTCGATAACCTATAGGACGACGGGTAGAGGCCTACATAGGGTTGCATGGGATGTTGATTGCATTGTTTATGTGACTAAATTGCTACTTGTTTATTACTTTAGGAAGCATGCTTAATTGCTTATGTGCTTACGTGCTTAAATGTTTATGTGAAAATGTTTCTTGTATAATTTTGCATGCTAAGTATTTGTACGGCTTCATTTCATGTTGAGTCATCCAAGGTGGACCTTAGTATCATGCTTTTGAACCGTTTTCTCATTTTATAGCACGATGTCATGATGTGAGGAAACCAGGGAACTTGGCCCTAGGCTGACTAGGGGTGATGTTGGTGAGAACTCCAGCTCTAATCTGGAGGAGCTAAATGATGAGGACACACTTCTTAGGGACTTGATTTCCCCAAGAGTTGTCCCCACAAGGAGGGATAATGTTGAAGCACCCATAGAAGTGGGTGAAGGTTCTGCGGCACTGGAGTTGAATCGACTGTTGCAAAGTGCCTTGAAGATAACAATTGCGGCTCAGTCACAGTCGGCACCACAACCTACAGTTCAAGTTAAGGAGACGCCAGCTCAGAAGCGTCTCAAGATCATTAAGGGGTTTTCTCAGTTGATGCCGGTTATGTTTGTGGGCGGTGCGGATCCAATGGTAGCAGACGACTACATGGATCAAGTTGAAACTCAGTTGATCTCAATAGATGTGACAGAGGATCACTTGAAGATCATCCTAACAACTTTCAAGTTTACTAAGGATGCTAAGCTCTGGTGGAAGACGGTTACGAGTCGGCATAAGGTGGAAGAGATGAGTTGGGACAAGTTCAAGGAGTTGTTTTACGAAAAGTATTTTCTGATTTCTAAAAGATGGGAGTTAAAAGACCAGTTTCTTGGCCTTATCCAAGGTAATATGTCAGTGGCGGAGTATGAGAACAAATTCACTTCACTTTCTCGCTTTGCTCCGGAAATGGTGAAAGATGAAGTTGACAAGACTCGAAAATTTGTTTCCTGCCTTAATGATCGAATAAGGCCGTTGATAACGGCACAATTCGTCAAGGTCTATTCTAAGGCAGTAGAGAGGGCTTTGATGCTGGAGGCTGATATTAAAGACAAGGATGTAAGGAGGGAACAGTGGAAGCAAAAGAGAGGTATAGGGCTATCTTTAGAAGGATTTTCTTGGAAGAAGAACAAGGGTAGTTCGTTTCAGTTTTAGGGGCAATAGTCTGCATGATCTGCTCCTACCACTCCTATGCCGGCTGGGTCTGACAAGAGTGGAGTCATATGTTTTCAGTGTTAGCAGCCTGGGCATTACAAGTCTGGTTATCCCATGAGATCGTCTTTAGTTTCTTTAGCTCCAAAGGCTTGTTATGGGTGTGGCCAGTAGGGTCACTTGATTCAAGACTGTCCTTATCAAGGAGCAGGCACTAGTAGTGGCAGAGGGTCACGACAGAGGCCGTCACAGTCGGCTACAGTTCAGTCAGGTTTTAGACCACCGCCACCACCACAGCCTGCTATGTCTTCTCAGGGTTCACGAACTGTTAGGAGGGATGCTCCTACTGTGCCAGCGCAGCAGTTCAGTATTCAGGGTGGCAGTTCTCAGGCATAAGCACCGTTGGGCTGTGTTTTCGTACTTGCACCGGCTGATGCATCTTCTGGACCGTCAGTTCTTCGAGGTATCTTTCTAGTGTTTGGTTCTTCGGCTCGTATTCTTTTTGACTTTGGTGCATCTCATTCCTTCATATCATCATCATTTGCACTTGCATCGGGGTTAGAGGTCAGTTTCATGGATCAGGTGTTGTGTGTTGATACGCCAGTTGGGGTTTCAGTGTCTTTGAACAGAGTTGTGCGGGATTGTTCCATTGTGATAGTTGGATGGACTTTTATGTTTGATCTTATCCTCTTGGAGATGACTAGCTTTGATGTCTTTCTCTGGATGGATTGGTTAGCTTTCTTTCGTGCCACAATTGATTGTTTCAAAGGGAGAGTCACAGTTTACACTCCTAAGGGAGATTGTTTCTTTTTCATGAGAGATCGGAGTGATTCCCAGCCTTCATCGTTGTATGGAATTCGAGAACAAAGTCATGGAGATTATTTCTTGTCTAGTTTTCTAGCCAAAGAAGTTGATGTTGTGGGAGAAGACTATCCGGAGGTAGTTCGTGATTTTTTGGACATGTTTCCAGAGGATTTGACAGAGTTGCCTCCACACCGAGAAGTAGAGTTTATTATTGACTTGATGCCCGGTATCGCGTTGATTTCTATAGCACCGTATCGTATGGCACCAGTTGAGTTGGAAAAGTTGAAGAAACAGCTTGATAATTTGAGGATGAAAGGTTTCATCCGACCGAGTGTGTCGCTGTGGGGCGCACCGGTCTTATTCGCTAAGAAGAAAGATGGTTCTTTGAGGTTATGCATTGATTATCAGAAGTTGAATCATGCCACCATCAAGAACAAGTATCCTTTGGCAAGGATAGACGATTTGTTTAATCAGTTAAGGGGAGCCAATTGTTTCTCGAAGATTGACTTGAGGTCTGGCTATTATCAGTTACGGGTTAGGGATGGGGATATCCCAAAGACAGCGTTCCGTACACGGTATAGACACTATGAGTTCCTTGTTATGCCTTTTGGCTTGACTAATGCGCCAGCGGCATTCATGGACTTGATGAACCGCGTCTTTCACGACTACTTGGACCACTTCATGATAGTTTTCGTGGATGACATTCTTGTGTATTCACGGACTTGGGGGGAGCACGAGGTCTATTTGAGTACTGTTTTATAGATTTTGCGAGAATACCGATTGTATGCCAAATATGAGAAGTGTGAGTTTTGGCTGCAAGAAGTGAAGTTTTTGGGACACGTTGTTTCGGAAGGTGGAGTGTCAGTTGATCCATCAAAGATTGAAGCTATTTTGTGAAAGATTTCTCCCGTTTGGCAGCTTCTATGACTCGATTGACCCGAAAAGGAATTAAGTTTCTGTGGAATGAAGCCTATGAATCGTCTTTTCAGGAATTGAAGACAAGGTTGACTACGGCTCCAATACTGGTGAAACCTGAGCGTGGCTAGGGTTATGTGATTTTTTGTGAAGCTTCACGTGATGGGTTGGGATGTGTGTTGATGCAAGATGGTAGAGTAGTGGCTTATGGGTGTCGATAGTTAAAGACCCATGAGTATAACTACCCTACTCATGATATGGAGTTGACGGCAGTCGTGTTTGCACTGAAGTGTTGGAGACACTATTTGTATGGTGAGAGATTCGAGGTATTTTCAGATCACAAGAGTCTCAAGTACCTTTTCTCCCAAAAGGACTTGAATAACAGACAGAGGCGATGGGTTGAATTTTTGGAAGATTACAATTTTGATTTGCAATATCATCTGGGCAAGGCAAATGTGGTAGTTGATGTCTTAAGGCGGAAATCTCGTGGAACTTTGGCCGGATTAACTATTTGGAAATGGAAAATGCTTAATGATCTAGCGGAAATGGGATTGTGTTGTGTTACCGATGATGTTTGCAGTGAATCTACATTCTTGTTTAGTCTTGTGGCTTAGCCTACTCTTGTTGTAAGGGTGATTGAGTCGCAGAGACAGGATCCAGATTTGGATGCCATTCATGCTTTAATCTCTAGTGGTGAGACAGTAAAAGATTGGAACTTGCATGCAGATAGGGGTCTACAATTCAGGGGTTTGTTAGTGGTTCCCACAGTTTGTCAGGAGGACGTCTTACGGGAGTTTCATACTTCCCGTTTTGCAGTTCATCTAGGTGGTACTAAAATGTATCACAATTTGAGGCGTCAATATTGGTGGAATGGGATGAAGAAAGATATTGCACAGTTTATGGCTAGATGCCTTACCTGTCAATAGGTGAAGGTCGAGCATCAGAAACTGGCAGGGTTGTTACAACCATTGCCTGTAGCGCAATGGAAATGGGAACATATTGCTATGGATTTTGTGACAGGACTTCCAAGGTCACGGAGAGACAACGAGGCCGTATGGGTCATCATTGATAGACTGACCAAGACGGCTCACTTTTTGCCTATTAAGGCAACAGATGATATAGAGACACTTGGTGTTCTTTACGTGAAGGAAATTGTAAGATTACATGGAGTCCCAGTAACCATTGTCTTAGATAGGGATGCCAAGTTCACTTCGAAGTACTGAGAAGGACTTCAAGCAGCGTTTGGTTCAACGTTACGTCGTAGTACGGCATTCCATCCATAGACAGACGGTCAGTCGGAGCGTACTATCCAGATCTTAGAGGATATGCTTCGGGCATGTGTGCTTGACTTTGGTGGTAATTGGGAAGATCATCTACCACTTATTGAGTTTTCCTACAACAATAGTTATCAGACGAGCATTGAGATAGCTCCATTTAAGGCGTTGTACGGCAGACCTTGTAGATTTCCAGTTTATTGGACTGAGGTAGGTGAGACAGCTGCCTTAGGACCCGACATTGTACTCGAAACTACTGAGAAGATTATATTGATCAGACAGAGACTGCTCACAGCTCAAAGCCGACAAAAAAGCTATGCAGATAGGCAGAGACGACTGCTATCTTTTGAGGTGGGAGATCATGTTTTTCTGCGGGTTTCTCCATGGAAGGGTTTGATGAGGTTTGGGAAAAGTGGCAAGTTGTCGCCACGATTCATTGGATCGTTTAAGATTTTGGACCGTGTAGGAGAAGTTGCCTATAGACTTGTTTTACCACCACAGATGGACAGGGTTCACAATGTCTTTCATGTATCGATGCTGCGGAAATATGAACCGGATCCATCTCATGTTTTGGATTGGGTTGACGTGATTATTGACGAAGATGTCTCCTATGAAGTGGGACCAGTGTAGATCTTTGACACACGATAGAAGATGTTAAGGGGCAAAACAGTACAGTTAGTGAAAGTTCTTTGGAGGCATCATGGAGTCGAAGAGGCTACTTGGGAGCTCGAACAGCAGGTTCGGTCTAGGTATCCAGAGTTATTTTCTTCCCCAGGTATGGCTGGATTTTGGGGACGAAATCCTTTTAAGTTGGGGAGATTGTGATGTTTCTAATTTTCAGAATTTTTCATTTTTCTGGAAATTCGTTGGTGCAAAGGTATTTCTGTCTTTTCACATTTGTGTGCGGGCTTTTTGTTGGGTCCATTTGCATTTCATTCATTTTATTTAATGTGAATTATGTGATATTATGTGGTGGTGCATTATATATATTTTGTGTGGTGTAGAAATTAAAGCAAAAAGAAAAAGGAAAAAGAAATTCAAAGTGGTGGGACCCACCACAATCTCAAAAGTGGTCTAGAGACCACATTTCCCTTCTCATTTTCTCTCTCCCCATAAGTTTCTTCCTCTCTCTCATTTTTTTTTCATTTTTCTTTTCTTTTAGTTTCAAGACTGCAAATCTTGATTCCAACCTCATTTCTTAGTGATTTTAAGTGCTGTTTGAGGCAAAATGGAGAGCACGACGAGCTCTAGGCGTGAGTAGCAACAATTTCAGATTTGGTGCTCTCTTTGGATTTCGAATTTGGAGACCCATTTTTAGGGTTTTGCTCAATCTTGAGGTAGGGGTTTTTAATTCATGTTATCTTGCTCCTTGGGGAATTATATCTCCTAAGATGTTGTAAACATGTTTAATTTGAATGTTAACTATTTTAAAGATCTTCTAAGTGTTATTTAGAAAATACATGATTATGTATATGAGTTGTTTGGTGTGAAAAGTATGCTTAGATGTTGTTTGGTTATGTGTAATGTGTTGATAAATTACTTGAGATGACGAAAATAGAATATGCTTAATTGTGTAGTGTAGTTTTTCTAAATTCTATGACATTGCAAGCATGGGACATATACATGTGCATATCATTGGGTTTTCATGAAGGAAGTTGTTTTGAAATAAAAATGGGAATTTTTGGGAAAAGTGTTTTGACAAATTGGTTTTATGGAAACCCGGTCGCCGCGGGGGTACCAAAGGGCCGGAGGGTTAATATAGCCTAGAGAGAATTAGGGAGATTGTCCTAGCGTGGTTGAGCTAGTTGGGCCCAAAATGATGCTGCAGGGGTACCAAGGGTTAGGGACACTAGCCAATCCTTCTCTCGTGTCACTGCGAGGTCACCAAAGGGCGGGTTATATTAACCGTTTGAAAGTGATGGTTTTGGAATGAAAATGGGGAGCGACATTAGCATGCATTGCATTTCATTGCATTGCATTGGTTATATTGAATTTGCTATTATGTTGTGTATCCCTGACATGATATGACCCCGTTTCCTATTACTCTATGTTTTTGTATGGATTCATGGCGACACAAGAGGCGTATCTTAAGTGCTACCTACTGAGCGATTCGGTCACCCCATTATATTCTTCATTTTTTTCAGGTTATGGCAAAGAATTAGGGGATGAAAATCCACCACAGGCTTGAGAGAACTTGAAGAGCATTTTGAATGTATTTTGATGAATTTGAACTTATTTTGTAAGCACATGATGTAAATGTATTAGGTTCATTTGGCTTGTATATGATAATGTGACTCGGACCTTAAAATCCATCTTGAAGTAAATTGATTATAATGTAAAGTTTGAGTTCATAACTCCATGTAGTTGATCTCAATGATTGTTAATTTGATTACGTGTTGGTTCTCTTGTCTATGACCATAGAGTAACTTAGGATTGATGATTTGACTCGAGATTAAACCATTGCAAAGTCTTTATTTTAGTTCCCCTCTCATCTTCATAAGGCAGCAGGTCAGATTCAGGATGCAGGGCTCGAAGAAGCCACTTTGGTCGACTGAAATAGTGCATCGGTCGACCGAACCCCTTTGTGGACTCTCAGGATCTCTATTTCGGTAGACCGAAATAGGGTTCGGTCAACCGAAACTTTCACATGCTCTCAGTATCTCAGCTTCGGTCTACCGAAGCAGTGTGTCGGTCGACCAGTTCTTGGAGGCCTGCTTCGACTGACCGAAGCTCCACTTCGGTCGACCGAAGTGTGCCTGTTGGGTCTTCTTTGTTCCTTCTTCCTTTGTAATCCACTCTTGATTCCGGAGAATTACTTAGAACCTTGTGAAAGTTTAATTTTGATCCTAATGAGCATGTTTTGACACTTGAAATGTTAGGTTTGACGTAGATGACCTCGGGTTCGAGAAAGGACCCGGCTAATGGTTCGGACCCCCGGGTTTGGGTTGTTGCATCGCCCACCAGGGGCGCGGGGGGGGGGGGGGGGGGGGACGTAGATGACCTCGGGTTCGAGAAAGGACCCGGCTAATGGTTCGGACCCCCGGGTTTGGGTTGTTGCATCGCCCACCAGGGGCGCGGGGGGGGGGGGGGGGGGGGGAAGAAATTGGACGGGAGGCTTCAATTTCTCAAACTTACAATTTTTGGCCTAAATAATATGTTGATTAAAGTTTTTGGCCAAATGGTACATTCCAGCTGAAAAGTTTTGGTTGTCCCATTCCTCACTCAATAAGGATATCACATTGCAAATTCTCACTCACATTTAAAATATGCCTTACAATTCTTCAACGAATATTAGGCACATAAATTTTTAGGGGCATATGTTTATACCACAATTATCAGTTACAGTGGAAGGTTGCCTGGTTGATTCCAATGAAAGGTGTTATGACTTTTCAGTGAAAAGAGCAAGAAATCAATCAAAATTGGACACGTGGCTTATTAAAAGGACCACACCTATAGCCATTTGCACTATAATTATAGGTCACTTTCCAATGGAAAGCTGTTGTGGCCAATTCCAATGGAAGGGTGATATGCAGATTTGGATGCAATCATAAAGCAATACATGGATTCATTTGAGAAATCCATCTGGTAAAGTAACTATCTTAGGACACGTGGCAGCCAAGGAAGTAAGCAGTTACCTTCAAGTGTAGTTACCTGTAAGTGGAAAGTCATGAGACATGTGAAAGGCCAAGAGGTAAGTAGTTAACTACAGTTGGAAGACATGACTTACAAGTGGGACACGTGGCAAAATTTTCAGTGGAAGAGCGGTTATTCTTGTTAGAATATATTGCAGAATATATTATTACTATATTGTATAATATATTATAACCTTGTATAGGATTACCATATATATAGTTACCATATACATATAGAATATATTATTAGTATATTGTATAATATATTCTAATCTTGTATAGGATTACCATAAATATAGTTACCATATACATATAGGGTTTATTTGTTCATCACACATGACCCCTCCTATATAAACTCCTCTTGTATACATCTCTCACACATCAATATCAATACAATATAGAGTTTTATAATATCTCTTTATTTCTAACATGGTATCAGAGCCTTTTGATCTCTGATAAACAATCTACCAGTTTATCATAGTCACCGCTGGGGATGACACCATTAGCCCCATCCTCGGCGGCGACGGTCAACCGGCAAATCATGCTTGCAAACTTACGCTTCCGCACGCCAAACCGCGCCACCATGCGCCTCAAGTGGTAATCCCACTCTTTATGCGCTTTCACGAGCACTAGCGGTAATCCCGCACCGCAACATGTCGGATCAACTCCGTCACTACGCCACCACTTATTAATTCCACGTGAAAACCCATCTTCACCAAATCGCTTTCGCCATATCGCTTTCAAGATCTCATTTCCAAACTCAAGATGGTTTCATTTAATCCACCTTGATTTTGAGGAAGGCTATTAGAATATATTGTAGAATATATTATTACTATATTGTATAATATATTCTAACCTTGTATAGGATTACTATATATAGTTACCATATATATATAGAATATATTATTACTATATTATATAATATATTTTAACCTTGTATAGGATTTCTATATATATAGTTACCATATACATATAGGGTTATCACACATCACCCCTCTTATATAAACCCCTCTTGTATATATCTCTCACACATCAATATCAATATAATATAGAGTTCTATAATATCTCTTTATTTCTAACATGGTATCAGAGTCTTTCGATCTCTGGTAAACAGTCTACTAGTTTATCGTAGTTACCGCCGGGGATGGTACCATTAGCCCCATCCTCAGCGACGGCGCTCAATTGGCAAATCAAGCTTGCAAACTCCAGCTTCCGCACTCTAAACCGCGCCACCATGCGCCTTAAGTGGTAATCCCACTCTTTCATGTGCTTTCACGCGCACTAGCAGTAATCCCGCACCTTAACGTGTCGAATCAGCTCCGTCACTACGCCACCAAGTGTCAGATTCACGTCAAAACCCATCTTCACCAAATCGCTTCCGCCATGCCGCTTTCATGATCTCATTTCCAAACTCAAGATGGTTTCATTTAATCCACCTTCATTTTGAGAAGGTTTGTTAGAATATATTGTAGAATATATTATTACTATATTGTATAATATATTCTAACCTTGTATATGATTACCATATATATAGTTACCATATATATATAGGATTTACTTGTTCATCACACACAACCAGTCCTATATAAACCCCTCTTGTATACATTTCTCACACATCAATATTAATACACTATAGAGTTCTATAATCTCTCTTTTATATTTAATAATTCTAATGGAACATGCAAGATTCCAGTGGAAGGTCATGCAGATAAGTAGTGGAAATGGCAAAACGTGGACTCGAACGTGGATACAAGCTAAGCGCAAATTATGGAAACTTGGTACATGTGGAGGATTTCCAGTGGAAGAGCGGTTATTCCCGACTAGTGAAAAGTTGTGCTAGAAAATAATCCAAATGTGTGAAAACATGGTCTCACACGTGTAAGCACTATAAGAATGCCAAGGAGTATGTGAGACACTTGGCAAAATCTAGTCAAATCAATATTATTGCCTACAGTCATTACCATTAGAAAATCCTATAAATAGAGCACTATGTTGTAGCTTTAAGGGCCTTTTCAACACACACAACGACAACACTTCACTTTATCTTTCAATTTGTATAATTGTCCTTCAGTTATCTTTACATTTTTACAATGTAGTTCAACTATCTTCATAAATGCAAGTTATTTTCCATTCATGCACCTTTAATTCCTTACTTTTAGTCCAACACTTCAATTCCTTTCCTTTCCAACCATAAGAAAATTTTGAAGTCTTTTGTCACTAAAGGCCGGCCAAAAAAAACCTTTGGAGGTGATCATTTCAGACCTCCTTTTAGTCGCCTGATCCATTCCATTTCCATCAAATATAGTTTAGACTTTCACTCGAAACTCCCTGAGTTCCTGGTACGCCCGCACTTCCAATAGGCCAAAAGAATGTTTTTTTGCGAGCCAAACACCCAGTGGTTGAGATTAGGGCTGTATTGAGTTGAAACCTACAAATATGAATGCTTCAATGTTCAAGTTTTGTCGCCTTCACCAGAATCTTTTTTTTTTTTTTTTTTTTGCCTCTGCATTCATCTACACTCGTTGTTAAATCAATTCTGGGTGATAGGTCAAGAGGCACAAAATTATAAGAAAAAGTGTAGGTTTCCCTATATATTTTGGTGTATATAAATAAATGTCCTCTGTTGGGTGCCCGCACGTGCAAATGTATGTACATGGTGGGGTGCCATCACTTTTGGACCATGCACCTCCTGCGTGCCTTCTTACTTCTAATTAAATTTGCAGCCTACACTCTAACCAGATGGAAGAGGCTTTTTATTATTAGTTTGGGAATTCTGTTGCTTTGTTATTACTTTTCCAATTATTACTTAAATTCTCTAAGGGGAGGTTACGAAGGTGTACCGATTAGTCAGCATAACTATCGTCTAACTAATTATTACTTAAATTTTCCTTCTTGCCCCATTTCAGGGTCAATATTATAAGGACTACCCTCTTCTTTTGTAACGTTAAATGGGGCAAGAAGGAGCTAAGTTTCAATGTTTTTGACGTTAATCACAACAAATGTAAAGCAAATTTTAAATGCTTGTGTTCGGTGCAAGAAAATGGCGTTTATTTCAGCAATGGTTCAGAATTTTATTGCAAAATGTATAGTTGGCCTTGACCATATTACATTTTGAATCAGGTCAGAATTTATCAATAAAACAAGAATGCAACTGGTATATCTATTGTTGGCTTATGATTTTTTTTTTTTCCAGGTAAATTCTTATGAAGTGTTTGTACTTTCCATCTAAAAATTCTATCCTTATGAATTTAAAGATTAGGTAGATCATGTTGTTATGTCAATTATATGATTGGATAAAAAAATAAAAAAAACAACCTTTATAGAATTAACTAGCATGGTGCGCCAATAATGCAAAATAAATAGAATTAAGTTGTTGTTGTTGTTTGTTTTTTTTTTTGTTTTTTTTATTTTTTATTTTTTTTTTTTGGTAAGAAACATGCACACACACCTAATTTACTGTTTTGGATATTAGAACTCTTACTACCCACCTTGAGAGGTAGAGGAGATATGTTACAAGGGATATTTGTCCTATATCGAATCTGGATGAGAAATGAATATAAATAAGTGGCTATATAACACTACTCAATAGTTTAACATTTTGAATAAATAGACAAACACCCATTACAAGATAGCACCGGATCACATGCAAAGCTGTTGGTAAAAGAAATCACTTGTGAACCTTCAAGTTTAAGGAAACTTTATTCTTGATACACATATTAGTGTATATAAATTTATATATAATTTGTTATGAATTAAAAAGAAAAAAAGAAAGAAGAAAAACAATTGAACTGTTCTTTTCAACATTTTTTTTCCCAATATCATTAACAGATATGCTCTTAAATATATACCACAAGCGTCCCATTTTAAGTGTACGTTACTTTTTGAAAATCTAACTTTTTAAAGATGTTGTATTTAATATATATATTTTTATTATATTGGTCATTAATGAGTTATCAATTTCTGTTGGAGAGACATAGTGGTGTTGGTAGTAATTCAGAAGGTAAGTCATTGAACAATTGCTTTTGGACCACATTCATGTTGTGGGGAGATCCACACTGATGTGATTGTGATGATAGTTTACATTTAAATTTTTTATAAGTTCAATGCAAAATAAAAAATATATATTATAAAATATAATGCAATAATTTTTTAATTGAGATAGCTAAATATGAAAGGTGGACATTTATAAATAAAATAAAATAATTGGGACTGAAAAAATATTAAAAAATCATTAAAAGAAAACTCGTTACAATTATTTTATTTTATTTATAAAATTTAATATTACTTGTTTATTTTTCATCTTAAAAGAAAATATCACAATTGCATTTACATAATAGCAAAGAAAAGTAAACTTTATTTCTTCAAAAGTTTAATTAAAAGGGAAATAAAAATAAAAGAAAATTTTGAGGGGGCCAACTCTATTTATATATGGTACTTATTTATTGTTATTAAAGATTTTTGTATAGGAAAATTAAAGTCGACACCCTCAAATTTTAAAAAATTTAAGTGGTTTGCAAAAGAAATTAATTGTGCCTCCTTCAAAATCCAGTGAATCTTTCTATTCTTGCTTACAACATTATTGCATACAAATATATATTGGATAAAATTTGTTAGAAATGGACCATCAGTGGAAATACCTTTGGCTTATATATATATATATATAGATAGATAGATCCTTGTCTCTACAGCTGTGAGGAGTGAAAGAAACATCAATTATCTTAAGCAACAAATTTTCACAAGATGAATTTCACTTCACTCTGCTCATTCGCTATTCTTGTCCTAGCATTTTACTCCATGGTTACTACTGGCTCAGTATCAAATGAAGACAACTTGGGGATTGATGAACCAATTGACGTTCATGTCATCGACAGGTTCGACATCAACACGACACCCAAGTTGATCATTCATTGCAAATCGAAGGACGATGATCTTGGCGAGCATACCCTTTCTTCGGGTGATGATTTCCATTGGCATTTCAGGGTCAATTTTATGAGGACTACTCTCTTCTTCTGCACCATGAGATGGGGCCAGAAGGTGTTGAGCTTCGACGTATTCGACGCTGCTCACAACAGATGTAAAGCAACTCTTAAATGCTTCTGGTCAATTGGTGAGGACGGCGTTTATTTTGGCGATGGTCATAGCCCCAACTACTTAGTGTATCGTTGGCCTTAATGACTATTATTACATTTTGAATGACACCAGAATCTATTAGTAAAACAAGATTGTTTCTTGTACGTATTGCATTGTTTGCTTATGAATAAACAAAGTGTGTTATTATTATTATTATGGAAAATGCTAAAGATTTCATGATATTATCACAAACTTGCATATTTATTAAAAAAACAAAAAAAAAAAAAAGTCTTATTTATTATTGTAATTCTTACTACAACATATTTGTAATTTAGTACTCTATTCAGTTTTTTATATATATATATATATATATATATATATATATATATATATATATATAAAGAATGCTTGACAATTCACAAGTTTAGAAACTCGACTTCCCTGAATTAAAAAACAAGATTGTTTTGCTTATGAATAAACACAAGTGTATTATTATTAAGGAAAATGCTAAAGAAAACGAGTTTTTTTTTTTTATGATATTATCACAAATTTGCATATTCATCAAATAAATAAATAAATATATACATATATATATATATATATATATATATATATATATTATTGTAATTCTTGCTACAACACCATTTTTCTTTTCTAATTAATATTACAAGCTGTTAAAAATATATATTCTTGTCGTAGCATTTTGCATGATTCCAAATGTAATCTTACTACATAAAAGAAAATTATAAGTGCATGTGATTGGTGCAAGAAGAGGCCGTTTTTTTAGTATTACAAAGTGTGTGGTTGGCCTTTATATTTTGAATGAGATCGTAATTTATGAATAAAACAAATACTGTTTCGGGTATATCCACTGTCGGCTTATGAACTGTTTGTACTGTTCATCTAAAAGTTTTCCTATTATGAATAAAACAAGAATGTTTCTTCTTTCTGGTAAAAGTGTGTGGCAAAGCACTTTGAATGCCACCTCAGCAGTTAAAGTCATAGTAGACCTAGATCGCCACAAAAACCGCACTATACTGTAGTAAAACTCTATCAAATAACCCTAAAACCAATTTTTTTTCCCCCTCTTTTCCCGTCTTTAGACTTTACCGCAGTTAAATTTACCTAAATGGTCATTGATGTTTTTTTAAAGGTTAATTTCAATATATAATATATATTATGGGTCGTGATAGACACGGCTATAATTTTGGCTGATCAGTTTGGCAACACGTGGTAGGGGCAGTAAGCAAATTAAACAAATTTTTTTTTTTTTTTTTTGGTAAAATGGATTCCCTCTTTTTGTCTCTCCTCCTCTACTAGTGCCACTTCCACGCCTGCAACCATCATCACTGCCCAGGCAAGCGAATCTCCGGACCCTCATCGCCTCTTTTTGGGCAGCTCTTGCCGAAGCCAAATGGCAATCGACTCCGACCTTGTTTTCGCTTTGCTCAGGAATTGCCTATTAGACAAGACCATCGAAAGAGCGATTTTCATAGAATTCGGATTCTCGTAGATAGATGATGGAAACTTTCGCTTACTGATCGATCGATTGAATGAAGATTGGACCGAGGGAAAAGAAAGACTAACAAACCACTCGTGAGAAGCTAACCTCCTGATCAGTCAAGAGCAGCCGCAATAAGGTCCTCCCGGTTTTTACGTTTCCAGCCAAGCCTGAAATCCATCATCACTTTATGGGGGAGTCTAAGGTCCGGCGATCTTCTGTCATTCTTGAATCTAGAGAAGAGAGTCAAGCAGTGGATTGAGGAAAATCACCAATTGACGTTGTTCACTGTGTGGAAGCCCCTTCATAAATCAAGAAAGTCTTGGACTGCCCTTCACTGTCTTGCCAAGAAAGGCTTGTATATTAAGCGATTCTGAAATCAGAACTGAACATCATGGAATGCATCTTTCTCTACGCAATTACGAAAGAAGAACATGGACTGTTTGAATTTCATTTGAACAAACTGAACAACAAAGAGCATTTTGAGAAAGAGCTTGGAACAAATTCAGCAAATGGACTCATCAAAGAATCAATGAATTGACTCGTTTTTCGCTGATTGCACTATCTAGCTCATCTCAGTCAAATCTGAATTCTAGAAGTTCACCTCTTATAAGTAAATCTGAATTGGAAAAGAATTCTAGAAGTTCACCTCTTGCCTGTTTCTCTCTCCGATTCCATTTTACCCTTCTTTGCTTTGTACGGAAATATGGGTTTGTTTGTTAGAGAGAGAGAGGAGAGAAACATCAACAGATGTTGATAACTGGACAACCACGTATTTCGGCCTAACAAATTTGCCAAAGTAATCAGTCCAAATATCATTTTCCTAAAAATAACACTAAAAAAATCAAAGGACTAAGATTTTATGTATGCCTATCCAAATCCAGCCTATATTAACAAGTAACATGGCCAGATATCTAATTCATGTGGTGCTTTAGGATCTGAAGACGTGTTTAATTGAAAGAAAAAAACAAGATTACAAAACGCAAAAAAAAAAAAAAAATTAAAAATTAATGGACTAAGATTTTAGGGTTAATTACAATGACACTTCTTAAAGTTTGATATCATGACACTCATATATAAGTTAGACGTTTTTTGAACAATGACACCCCCTGACAAAATTTGGAGCCAAATAGACCCTTAAAAGGTTTGAAAAGACAAAATTACCCATCAATATTTAACTAATTTTAATTGTAAAATATTAAAATTTTAAAATGACACTGTTGCCCTTCTACCAATCTCTTCTAAACCCATCGATCCGGCCCTCTCTCTCTTCACCCATCGCTTGAATCTACTCCGCTTGAAACTACTCCGGGAAGCAAAAGGCTCAGAGCACTTTGTTTTGGTCACAAATCAGTATATGTGAGTCGATATATATATATAATATCTCTCTATATTGGCAGAGACCCAGATCGCGTAATTTCTACATAGGGTGTAACTTAGTGTGGGCTAACCTGGGCTATAGCCCAGGTCCAAAAAAAAAAAAAAAATAGTACTATTTTCTATCCGTCATAACCCAGCCCATACCCATGCCCATACCCAATCCATAATAAAACAAATGGGCCAGCCCAGCAATGAGCCCATCTCTCTGAAAACCTAACTATTATGGTGTTGGAACATTCCCATCTGCCTAGCTTCCCAAAAAAAAAAAACATTCCCATCTGGCTCTAGGTCATCTCTCTGAAAACGCAGGAGCCGTAGGAACATTCTCATCTGCCTCTGAGTCATCTCTCTGAAAACGCTTCACAGCCTTCACAGCCTAGCAAACCAACGATTGAAGCCTCGAAGGTACATAGATAATTCCATTTAATTGTTCTATTTTCACTGCTTTGCCTCTGTGAATCTGTGATGATCATCAATGTATGTTTTTGTTTTTGGATATTGCCTTTTGATATGCAAACAACAAATTGATTGGATTAGTGTTGGAATTTGAAAATTAAGGAAGAACCTTATCTTAGTTCTTACTTCAGCTTTTACCCCCAAATAAATTTTACCCATCTCTGAGAGAGATCAATTTTTTATTAATTTGATCAGAGCTACCTCATGGTCCTTTACGGAAATGCGTCGCCATTCTCTCCTCTAGTCCAATTAATTCCTCTTTTAGTGACTTTCAACTAAGAGATTGGTTTAAAATTCATAAATCATCTTTATTTACAATGAATTATGTGAAGACTTTCTTGAATGTTTCCATTAAAGATTTATTTTTTATTTTATTTTATTTTTTTTTCATACCATGTTCGTGAATGTTTCCATTAAAGATTCTTTTATTTATTTATTTATTTTGGAGTTGGGTTTGATTGCATTCAAATCTAAAAGATCTTAATTTTTTTTTATTTTTTTTTTATTTTCCCTGCTGTCAGCTCTATAGCCTCTATAGGTGATAGGCAATTAGGCATGCCCTTTATTTTTGTTTGTTGAAGCACTATATTCACCCTCAAGATGAAAAATTGTTTTCATTTTATAAACGAAAAGATGATAAACTAGAGATTGGGACAGCTTCCACAAGTATGAGTTCTCGGCCTAAGACTACAAGCTCTAATGAGCAGCAACAAGAGCCTCCTTCAAAAATTCCAAGATGCTGGTGACTCCTTTAAATTTTCATATTTTTAGCCCTACCCACTTTGCAATCCTAGCTCCACCCATATATATATATAATATATTTCTATATTGGCAGAGACCCAAATCGCGTAACTTCCATATATATATATGTGTGTGTGTGTGTGTGTGTGTGTGTGTGTCAGGTTATATATTGTTCATATTAGATCGCACAATCTGCAACTTGAAATCAGGATTTTACATGCGTGCTTCTCATTGCTCCAGAAATGGATTTGCTTTAAAAGCTAAACCTATATATATGTGTGTGTGTGTGTGTGTGTGTGTGTGTGTGTGAATTTCAACTCTCAATATTTTCTTCTTGAATGCAATTACAACTTTTCATATTTTTCTTCTTAAATGCAATTATTAATGGAATTCCATGGATGTTAGAATCATGTTCCAGTCAGTGAAGCTCATACATATATGACTTAGATGTTTGGTAAAGGGAAAGACATGCAATCAAACTAGAACACCTAATTAGCTTTAGAGAGTAGGCAAAACGATTCTAATCTTGGCAATCAAAAAAATTAATAAATAAAACATCTGATTTGTAAGCATATGTGATCGTATTCTCCTTTATAATTTTTCTCAGCTTTCTCGGCAACCATGCAAGGGTTTTAGAATAGAGAACACACAAAATTCACCTTGAGAAGACCTTTCGCTGTTTTGCGAACGAGATCTTTGGGGAATCCATCTATATATATATATATGTCAGGTTATATATTGTTCATATTTGTATATAGAGAGATGTGAGAGAGGTTATTTTGGACATTTCAAATTTATTAGAATGGGTAATTTAGTAATTTTGTGTCATTTCATAAGTCAAAGGGCATTTAGGTCATTTTATCACATGTCGGCCCTCAATGGGTGTCTTTGTCAAAGACAACAAAGCTTAGGGGTGCCATTGTTCAAAAGTGAGCTAATTTGTATATGACTGTCAATAAGGTAAACCTCAGAGAGTATCATTGTAATTAACCCAAGATTTTAAAAGCATTTTTAACATGTTATTCGGCAGCTTCTTTTTTAAATGAGTTTCTCAACTGTAGAAGTTTTCCTATTCTTAAATTAAAAGATGTGTATTTATATATGTCTGTTTGCTTGTGTCTCTGGGAATTAGTGATATAAAACCTTTTGTCTTCAGTATTATTGTGTCTCATTTTATGGGACGATTAATGCTTCGTCTTTGACAAAAGAATTTTTATGCAGACTAGTGGTTGTGTTGCTCAACCTGGAAATATTCTTCTGATGTTGTTTCCATTATCCTCATTTTAGATCGCTTTCATGCAGTCACACCCAAAATAATGAAAATTGATGCTAATTATTGAATTTTCTGTTGCCCCAAATTATATGGAAGATGGGAAATTTATGTTGAAATGAAACTACTTTTTAGTCTCTGCAGAATAGCAGCTCCAGCTTAGCTTTAGTTACATATTAGTAATTCTTCTGTGTGGTTTCAAATTCTATGCTTAGATTGAACTCTAGTTTGGCTTTCAATACGAATTAAATATGGTTTCTGTTGGTCTTATGTTTCGGGATTTGGTGTTTGTACAAGCAATGTCCTTTTATTTGTGTAGTTCTCTTACGTAATAGAGAAACTCTTCTATGTTTGTATAGATCGTGCTCAGATATGCCAAAAGTTCCTACTCAAGTGGCATCTCCAGAAGAACATGAGATAAAGTTGGACCTACCTGACATACCAACGAAAGCACTGCCTGTTACTTCCAAGGTAATTCCTGAGGATGCTCAAGACGCTTCAGATGGAGTTTCTGTTAGGACAAAAGGTCTCTCTCTCTCTCTCTCTCTCTCTCTCACACACACACACACACACACACATTCACACAATCATATAAATATATGTATATACAGATACATACATATATATATCCACACACACAAGGCGGAGGCCATGGCAAGCTGTCGTCAGGGATAATTATATATAGGGTTATTCCACAAAAATGGAGTTTTGGGCGTCAAAGGACAGAAGTATGGAGTCAAAATCAAAATTTCCAAATTAATGGAATTTTCTCAAAATCTGACGGAACATGGAAATTTACGGTACATCTATTTTTTATTTCCAAAATAGCCTTCTATTGTTGTTATGAAATTATGTTACTACTCCTCATATCTAGAGAGAAACCCATCTATGGCAATCCTTCTTCCCAAACGAACAACCAACAAACTTGATAAATTCATCCAAACCTTGTGGTCATTTGCGCTTTTCTAATGATTAAATGGATTTGTTGTTTTTTTTATTTTTATTTTAAATGGGTTTACTGGTTAGGTGGGTGAAAGAGAGACATGGCCAATCAAAAAGAAATAATTGTTTTTGCCATTGCAGATGAACACATTCAAAAGGGGTTGGTTTTGGGGTGTGAGAGAGACTCATAACAGAAGGGTATTTTGGGAATAAAAAAAATGATGTACAGTAAATTTCCATGTCCACCTTAGACTTTGAGAAAATTTCAATAATTTGGAAAACTTAATTTTGACTCCATTATTTTGTTCTTTGACCCACAAAACTCCATTTTTATGAAATTATCCCTTATATATATCCACACACACGTACACACACAGGTGGCGACGATGATGTTGCAGTAGAGGTGGCGATGGTGGTTGCAGTTTCGCCGTCCTCTAAGCTCACCACACTGTCGAGGAGCTCGCCACCATCACCACCGCTTCAAACCATCGCCTGTAGCTACAGTTTTGATCCTTGTTCGTCGCCGGTCACTCCTTCATCGCCGTTTAGTCATGCCACCGGCATCCTTGCTCGTCGCCGCTGTTCAGTTCCTCACTGAAGTTCTTCAACACTGAGCCCACGCAAAGACCGTCCCAAGCCGCCTGAATGATTTTAATTAGCCACGCCACACATTATCACGCGTTGTCTTACCGATCACGCGCCGGTTCTGCAAATCGCGTGCTGAAATTTGCCGTCAATCATCTTCTTCTCCTAAATCGTGTGTCCAACACACGCCGATGCTCCACCACACACGCGCCCGACAAATTTCCATAGCTACCATCACAACTCCAGCAACTTCCACAGCAAACTGTCCTCGCCGTTCAGACCTTGGTCTCTGGAATCGCCGACATTGTCTCATCTCACCGCTGGTAATCCCAACAACCTTCACGTCGGTGATCCCACTATACCAAAACCATCTGTTTGTTGGCCCATTGGACACAACTTCACCGGCGTCGGAATTTCTGACTACCATTGAAATCACCAATCTCTGCCGATGATATTAACGGTGACGAAATAGGGTTTCTTAATGAGCAACATGGTTACAGTAGGGATTCACAGAGGAATGGAACGGGTTACAAAAGAAATGAAAGGTTAGAGTGAGAGAGAGATGGTCTATGGCTGTGATTGTGGCTGAAATAAACTGAGGGCAATTGTGTCTTTCTAATATATGTAATATTTTATAATAAATTTGATTTTAATATTAAGGGGTAATTTTGTCTTTTTGGAAGATTTAAGGCCTTGTTTGGTTGGAATTTCATATAAGGAGTGTCTTTGTCCCAAAATAAGATAAATTGTATGTGCGTGTCATTTTAGTAAACCTCAAGAATGTTGTTGTACTTTACCCTTATTTCTAAATTCCAGTCATGGAGGAACCATTGGGTGGGGTATTGGTTTTGGGGTTTCACTTGGTAGCCTACATCTTTACATGTACTTCTCTATATATATATATAATTATTATTATTATTATTATTATTTACATTTAATAAATTTGTTTCCATTTTTGTAATTGTGTACATTTTTATGAGTGGTCATCACAAACATCCACATTGTATAATAAATTTATTTATTTATTTATTTTTTTTTTTATTTTTATTTTTTTTTCTTCCAAAGTTCTTATTAGCAATTCAATAATATTGTGGACTGAAAGTCTTTTATTTTTATTTTTATTTTTTTCTTCCAAAGTTCTTATAAGCAATTCAATAATATTGTGGACTGAAAGTCTGAGACTGTTAAACATCATACATGACAAAAAAATAAAAAAAATAAAAAAAATAAAAAAAGAAGAGAAAGACAGACTACTTACTCGTGGTGGTTTCGTAAGCATTCCACTTGAAAATGGAGAAATTTACAAGTTGTGACCCCAAAATATAAATTCAAATTAATCAAATTTCTTTGCTGTAGTGCTCCGATCCGAGTAACATGATTCAGATGTATATTTAAATTTTTTTTTTTTTGTCATTTTGTTTGTTTCGATGTAACATATATTTTGAAAATTATTTTCTCTATTTTTATCTGTTTGGTTATCATAAAATCAAGTTAAACAATTTACTAAATAAAATATTTTTCCTAAGTCTTACAAAAACAACTTGAAAAATATTTTCAGGATCTTTGTCAAATATTGAAAAAAAAATAAATAAATACTACATAAAAAAAAAAAAGATTCAAAAAAAAAAAAAAAAAATTTACGCCCAAAGAAACTGTGCATAAATGTAAATTACGATTTACTCTAACAATTACTTTCTGTTCGAATATCCTTTCTTAACTACCGCTGGTTTTTGCTCTCGATTGTTTTGTTTTCTAAGTGCTTAAGCATTGTTGCACTTCTCCTATTTCAAAATTTGTATCATCTATGACATTGTTTATAACAGGTTGTAAAGGAACAAACATTCAATATATTGTTGTCCTTTAAAATTTTTAAATTAGTCTGTGAAGGATGGTTTTAAGGAAAAAAAGGTTTAAAATTGACTATTTTTTACGAGATATCAATATGAGATTTTCTGCTGTACAACAACATTTACTTAACGAATTTCAACTCACACACATGTAGGCTTATTCATTAAATGTGATACAACACTTGTACATAAATTCCAACTCATGTCATACTTTTTATGTTCATGAAAAAGTATATGGAAGGAAGAGGGGAGGAATGACATAAGAAATTTTTGTCACAGAAAGAGAAATGCATTATTTATTTATTTTATTATTATAATTTTTTTATAGCACATGTATCGGCCCCTATAACATACGCACCATTCAAATCATGAGTGCAGTTCGAAATTGAGAACTCAATGATTTACCTCTCTGATCCCGCTATGCCCCTGGGACAAGAAAAAATGCATTTACTCTTCTATGAGTACATGCTAATAATTAATTAGTTGGCAATATTATGCTATCAATATAATACAAGCATTGAAAAGTAGATTGTTCTAGTCTCCCTCAACAACATTATAGGAGTTTTTTGCCAAGACAAATAAATTATTATTTTTTAATTCCGTATAGATGGTAAAACACCAAAAGGAAAAAAAGAAAAAAAAAAAAAGAAATTGGTTACTCTCAATAAGGACTCACATGTCAGTTGTGACCATAGCATCCGACTAGATTCAGTGGAAGAAATTGATTACTGACAACCAATATCCAAATTTTGATTTCCATCACTCTTTTTCTTGGATGTTATTTTAGTCTCTCTCTATCATCTACTGACAATCATTTTGGAATTATTATTATATATACTCAGGGCTCTGCTACGATAAATTTTATTACATTATGCCACAAAAATATCTCACACTTTTATACACCTAATGGTCAATATGAATTTTAAGAATATTATATATAAAAAAAACACAAAAGCATTTAACAAATATACTCCATATATATATATATATATATATATATATATATTTCAGCAGTTCTTCCATACTATATGTACTGTGATAAGGTTTGTGTGTGCTACTATGCCTGCAGCATAGACTTGTGATGGTTTTAGTGAATAAAGGTTTGTGTATGCTACTGTACTTATAGCATAGATCTGTGATGGTTTCAGCGGAGGTAATTTTTTTTTTTTTGCGATTTTACTTATTAATTTTATTTTTTTATATATAATATCTAGATTATATTATTATTATAATAATAAAAAAAATGATACGACATAAAGTACCACCGAGCCGAAAACGTATTTATATCTGTATCTATTATTATCTCTACCGATTGATTTCCCTCACATCAAAACCACTTTTTCTCTCTCAATAATTTTCCACCTGTCATTCCATATTCTCTCCCTCAATAATTCTTTGCATTATTAGGTCTCCCTACCAATCAATGTCCCTTCGTTTTCGTTCTTCAATTTTCCATAGACACACCAAAAATTCTATATACGCGCGCACGAAAAGATAATGCATTTTAGTCCTCAGCAGACACTTTTACACTACACTTTTTTATTTTTAAAAATTATAACCATTTTTTCCAATCTTCTTTTGTTTGAAATTTTTATAATCATTGGATTAATTTTACAATAATTATAAAAAACAGATATATTCTCATATATTTGTTGACAAATCTAAAATAAATAAATAATCAAAAGGCAAAAGGCTCATTTTTTTTTTTTTTTTTTTTTAAGTTTTTAAAAATCATAATGTAAAGAAGCAGGGAAAAATAATTGTTCAGTCCAAACAAAGAAGGAAATTAAAATAAATAAATAAATAAAAAAGTAAAAAAAAAAGAAAAAAAGAACTGAAGCATGGTTCGCATCCGCAGTATTGATCGAGGTGTAACGGACTCAGACGAATATCGGTGTAAATTGGTTAAATCAGCCCGTTCATAAAAGTATGTAACGATATTGAACCTTTAAAAATGGATTACAAACCGATCGATACGTTGCGTATTGATTAATATTGCAAAACATGAATCGAAGTGCTGTTTGAAAAATAATAATAATAATAAAAATAAAATAAAAATCCCAATATATGAAAACAAACCCTTGTAAAAATAAATATATAAATAAATACTTTTTAAAGTGGTGGGATTATGACCCGCACCCATGTGTGAGTCACATTCAGCCAACTTCACACGGGAATGAATTATGTTCATTCGACGGTATAACTGGCTAGCACTTAATCTAACAATTGACAATTCATTGAAATTCACATCACACCTGACTTGGACAATATTCATATATCATCAACTTTTACAGTGTGATGAACCCTCTTTCCAACTAACGTACAATTTAGATATAAAGGCATTTAAGCATCCCATGAGATTACAAATGTGACATAAAAAAAGTGATTTGCAACTATGCACCAAATCTTTTAATCTATTAATCTGTGCACTAATTTAAATATTGAGCGTTATGGCTAAGCATTCAATTTGTCAAACTAGTTTTAATTTGGAAACATAAAAGACCAAACACAATCGAGTGTACTAATAAATCAATTATAGGATACCAAAATCGTTAGTGTGCTAATTTCAAAATAAGAAAAAAACTTAATGACATTAAAAGATGTTGCAATAAAAAATGCTATAAAAAGTTAAAAACTAGTGAAAATATACATAAGTATGAAGGATATAAAACAATATATATTACATGTAAATATTGATACTGTGATAGTTTTTGTCCAGCAAAAACAGGGGCCTACCACAAGAATTATTGAAGGAACAAGAAGTTCCTATTATAATTGTTTTAAATTTTTAAATAACCAGACTAGGTGTTGGAGAATAATTTTCTTACATTATAATTTATACAACCATTTTATATAATATTTAGTTTATATTATTATTACCAAAAAAATAATAATAATAAATAAAATCATACAACATAAATTACCAATGTTGTAGACATAATTCTCTGCATCTCTCTCTCTCTCACTCTCACTTTATCTCTCTCTCTCTGTCATTCCTTTTCCTCACATCAAAACCACTCTCTCTCATCTTCTCTCTCTCAATAATTCTTTGCATTATTACCTCTCTCCCTCCCAATCAGGTGAAGTGCATTCACATCCAAAAATTCTACATGCGTTCACAAAAAGATAATGCATTTTACTCCCCAGCGCACACACTTCTATTTTCAAATAAATAAAACCATTTTTTCCAATCTTATTATAACATTTTTTTATTTTTTATTTTAAATTTTAAAGAACGAAGATACCGAAATATGTTTTGGAATTTGGTATTCGCAATATTTTGCAGATGCTTGAGTTTGCCTAACACATTCTCTGACATAATCAAACCACCCGATATCATGAATCTTCATTGATGTAAACTTACTACATGAAGCCATGAGATCGAGTAATACTCGACAAAATTTAGTATTAGAGAGGTGTAGTGGACCTATATAAAGAAATATTAAGTAGGTGCTGAACATATTTTTCCAATTTCTTCAACTGAAATGGAGAGGGTGTGACGGGAATTTACCAAAAGGCCTGCTAATTTCCTTCTAAATCCTGTAGTAAGTTTACATTATCCATGAGATGACAATGACATTGAAGTTGAATTGGAGGTCCAATTTCTTCAACTGAAATGGAGAGGGTGAGACGGGAATTTCCCATTTTTTTTTCTTTTTCCTCCTTTATCTATACAAAATTTACAATGTCTAAGAGATGACAATGACATTAAAGGCCAGCTAATTTCCTTCTAATTTTTTTTTTTTTTTTTTTTTGAATTAGGTTCTGAGATACAAGCATCAGTACTCATTCTCTCTCGCTCACTACTAGCTTCATGCAAACAAATCCACAAGTGCTAGATAGAGGTACGTCTTCAAAACGATAATAATCAGAGCTCTCTGCATTTCTGTTGTCTAAAATCATGTGTTTACTTTTGTTTCTGAATTTGGCTTCTCTCTAGCTTCCATCTGAATTTGTATCTCTTTTCTCTTGTGAATCACTTTTCTTTATCTTTCTCTGTCGTTTGCTTGTCACTCTAGTTCTGAGACACCTTACTAGCTCCATTCAAACATATTCATAAGCTACGTGTGTTAATTTCTTCAACAATAATAGTGTTTTAGTTGTAATATTTTTGTATTCAGTCATCTCCAATCCTCTCTCTTTTTCTACCTTTCTGTTGCTTTTAATCTTTCTCGGACTAGTCTTCTTTTATATATCTTTACTTTTTTGGTCTCTCTCTCTCTCTCTCTGTGAATTTGAACCTCTATCTGAATTCCTATATATCTTTCTCTGACTAGTCTTCTTTTCTATATATCCTAATTGTGAATCTTCACCTTTCGTTAGTTATCTTTCTCTTCCATTTGTTTGTCTTTTAAACTCAGATTCATTTGTGAATATTCTTTTGTATTGCTTCTTCTAGTTTGTCATCTAAACTCAGATTCATTTGCGAATATTCTTTTGTATTGCTTCTTCTAGTTTGTCATCCAAACAAAAAAAAAAAAACACTAGCGGTGAGTTGAAAATGAGTTGTGTTATAGATGCTATTGTGGGAAAAGTATTCGAGCCAATTGGGCGTCAAATTGGTTATGTGGTCAAATACAAGGAAAATATTGAGAATTTGGAAGAAGAAGTAAATAATCTTAAAGGCATGTGGGAGACGGTCCAAGCAGCTGTCAATATAGGCAAGGCCAATGGGATGACCATTAAGAAGGATGCTGATCAGTGGCCGGAGAAAGTGCGGCAGTCCTTGACCACAATGGAAGAAGAAATGAACAAATCATTGCAAGACAAAGAAAATCTCAAATGTCTTGATGTACGTTCACGGTATAGGCTTGATTTGAAAGGGAAAAAGATGGCGATGGATGCTATCAAACTAAAAGAGAAACGCAATGCGTTTGGTGACGAAGTTGCACACCCTACTCTTCTCAAAGATATTTGGGACACATTCAGCACAAGCTATGAGCATTTTGATACCAGAAATTGGTTTTTGAAGAAATCATGGGGGCGTTGAGAGACGATAAGAATTCCAAAATCGGTATATATGGAATGCCAGGCGTTGGAAAGATAACAATGGTGGTGGAAGTTGGCAAACAAGCTGGAAAAGGTCCCTTTGATGAGGTCGCAATGGCAGTTTTCTCCCAAAACCCAGATCTGAGAAAAATCCAAGGAAAACTTGCGGATTGTTTAAATCTAAAACTAGATAAAGAGAGTGAAGAAGGGAGAGCAGGTCGTAATACTGGATGACGTTTGGGATGATCAGATTACATTGGAGAAAATAGGAATTCGAGCAAATTTAATTAATACCATGGGTTGCAAAATTTTGTTGACCTCTCGAAGACTAGAAGTGTGCAAACAGATGGGGTTTGAAAAAGCCTTCCCAATCAGACTCCTATCGGAACCTGAAGCTTGGCACCTATTCAGGAGAACGGTGGGAGATTTTATCGAGCTGATCCTGAAATTCAGTCCTTAGCGCAAAAAGTGTGCAGAGAATGTGATCATTTGCCGTTGGCAATTTGTGCAGTTGGAGGAGCACTAAGCAGTAAGGAAGATAAGCATGTATGGAATGATGCATTTGAACAGCTCAGAGATTTTAAGGGATATAAAATTGAGAGGGTGAAAGATAAGGTGTATTTGTGTATAGAGTGGAGCTACGAGTATCTTAAGCAAGCTGATGTGCAGTCATGCTTTTTGCATTGCTCTTTGTTTCATGAAGATACTGAGATTCCTATTGACATGCTGGTGTCTTTGGGAGTAGGAACAAAGTTTCTTGAAAGTACAGATAGAACATCAATAAAAAAAGCAAGAGATAGAACACTTGTGATAGTTGTTATCCTCAAGAAATCTAATTTGTTGTTAGAAGGTGAAGAAGAAAACGTGATCAAAATGCATGACGTAATTCGAAATATTGCCATATTAATTGTATCCAAAGATCGGAATGCATTTCTAGTGAAAGATGATGTCAATGTTTGGCCAGATAAAGATGATTATGAATGTTGCAAAGCCATCTCATTAAGGGATTCTTGCAAAGTTTGTCGGCTTCCCGATCAGTTAGAATGTCCAGAACTACGCACCTTAGTATTGGGATCATCCGACGATTCACTACTAAAACTCCCAAATAGCTTTTTTGAAGGGATGAAAAAGCTTGAAGTTTTGGTTTTGAAGGGGATGAAACTAGTACCATCATCACTTTCACGTCTGGTTGGTCTCTGGATGTTGTGTCTAAGTGATTGTGAGTTGGTAAACCTATCTTTCATCAAGGAATTGAAAAACGTTGAGATACTGGTCCTTGGTCATATTTACGAATTCAAAGAGATAGTTTTCGAAATAGGACAGTTGACTTGCCTACGGTTGTTGAATTTAAAAGAATTTAACAAAAATATAGGATTTTCGTCGGGTTTCCTGTCTCTTCTATCCGATCTGGAGGAATTGTGCATTCCGAAGGCTTATGATGGATGGGAGGTTGAAGGCAATGCAAGCATTGTTGAGATAAATTGTTTGACTAGCTTAACCGCTTTGCGTATTTATGTACCAAATGACGTCTTCTTATTACTGCCCACGGAACTTCCCAGCTTTCAGTTGTTAACGAAATATAAAATATGGATTGGGTCTCACTATAAAAGTTTTTCAGAGGTTGACCAACACATAGAAACAAAGGTCTTGGGACTTGGTAGTATTCCTTTGATGGATGGGCTTGATGTTTTGATTGCGAACGCTGAAGTACTACGTTTGTATTATATGGAAGGTTTAAAGAAGGTGCTTCAAGACAGAGATGGAGAGTGGTTTCTAGATTTGAAGCATCTTTACGTTAGTAGATGTAAGGATATGGAACATCTACTTGGCAAACCCAAATGGAGTTCAAAAACTCATGGACCATCTCCATTGGGTTCTTTTGGTAACTTGAGAGTATTAGAAGTTTTCTGTTGTAGCTCAATGAAGTATCTGTTCTCCGCATCCACTGCAAGCTGTCTTCCAAAACTACATCTACTACAAGTTATACAATGTGAGGCATTGGAAGAAATAATTGGAGGTGACGAGGAATTCACGGATAAAGTTACTTTTCATCAGTTAGAAAAAATGCGGCTATTAAGTTTGCCAAATCTCAGAAGCATTTACGCCAATACGAAGAAGAAGACATCAACTAGAGAGTGCAGCATGCCTTCCACTGTTAAACAACCTCTCTTCAATGAAAAGGTATTTTATATAGTGGGTTAACAATTTTGATACAAAATAAGGTAAAACCTAAATTTAGGAAAAATAATTAAGATTGTAGAGTTTAGAACTATATACATACACGTATATTTATATATTAGTTGTTGTTCTGATGGGGCTTTACTTTATCGGGTGTGAACAATTTCTGCTTAAATAAAACTCATGGGTCCAATAATATTAAAATAAAATAAAAAAAAATGAAAAACAAACCTTTCTTCTTTGAAAGTTTATTTGAGATTAAATACTATAAAAACACGCTTTTAATAACCACATCCAATGCATCCACATAATCATTTATAATATCGATACAATGCATTCCTATCACATACAATGCACCATATCTCTTAAATATGGATAATCACAAAATTATTTAAATTAAGTGGTTAAGATTAATTATTAATATTAGACCACTATTTGACATAAGTTTTATTTTATTTTAGTTTTTTAGGCAAAAAATTTTCCTACTCATTTAGACAAGTTTATTACCTAAAAAATTCTTTGAAAAAATAAAATAATAATCATGTCATCCTGCATGTAATAAGGTTAATTAAAAATCTAATACCATTACTGTTATCCTTTTCTTTTTCTGTTACGTGAGTAACACTTATGCTGTTAATTTTATTAGGCATCAGTTGCAATTCAAAATTGGCTCTCGACTCTTGTGGTTTTTTGCTTCCATATCCATAACTCTTGCCGATTATGTTGCTCTGTCTCTTACCCAATTTGGTCTTATATCCATTGAATTTAATTATATGGTCATCTCACCATTGGAAAAGACAACAAGTACCACTTGATAGACATGTTGATCTGCTAAATGGTGATGATGATGCAGTTAATTGAACTCTGATTTACAGTCGGTTAAGGGGGGAAAAAAAACAAGTGCACCAACCCCGACTATTTTGCTGCTTCATTATGCTTTTCCTGTCCTCTAAATATAGACTATATTTCCACGGTTCTTGCATCAATTTTGTGCGATTTAAATTTTTTCCCCAACAAAATAGTTGTGTATTAAAAAAAAAAAATTAGAATTTATTGGTCATTGCAGTTAAGAGTAGAACTAATATGTAATATTCCTCTTTCTTTCTTTCTTTCTTTTTTTAATGCTTGGACTATTTATAGTCACAAAGAGACATTTTCTATATTTTCTCTTTCTATTTAAGTTTAAATATTATACCTTGGGAAAATGCATATTTTTATTATTAAGAGGACTAGTGGAGCTTAATAATGGGTCAACTTCTCAATGTATTGTGTTAGAAACTTATAATCTGGAATAAGTTAAGCTCATGTTTCACATAAGTGATGCATTTAATGTCACATTAGTCATTACATCAAATATAATTATAATGCACACATATATATATATATATATATATATATATATATATGTTTGTATATATTTAGAGTATGGTATATTATTTTGAAATTTAGATGGCAGATTGCGTCACATAGTATGTGTACAAAATGTGTTTCTCATTTCCAACGAGGAAAAAGAGGAGGAGGAGAGAGTCAAGTCTATAGTTGTGAATTGAATAGAGAGTATATGTTAGCATCAGCCTGAGAGGAACAATCATGCATTTAAGAGGAAGTCAAACAGTTTTGAACTAGTCTATGCGATACTCTGTATCTCTGTATCTGAATTGGCATTGTTTTGGAATATTTTTGGGGTAATATGGGGTCGATCCATCCTTAGTTAAATGTAGGGTTCATTCCTATTGTTTATTGATAAGGAAATAGAAAAAATAAAATTAAAAATTATACAAAAATTGTTTCTTAGTTGTTCTATAGTTATTGATGATAAATAAATAGTGGAGTATCTTCTTTTCAGATAGACTGTTTGGAATTGATGTTTTCAAAAATCTTAGTGTGGAGTGGGTTGGGAAGACTTACAAGGCAAACAATATATACAAAATGTTTATTAGTTGACAAAATTTAATGTAAATGTGGATCACAGACTATGTTTCCTGTCTTAGAGGAATTGGTGATTAATGGATTGGGTAGCATTAAAGTGATATGGGACAAGCAATTACTCCAAGTCCTAAAAGGTGGAAATTCCTTTCAGCATCTCCAACAGTTACAAATAGTCGATTGTAAGGAGATGAAAGAGATACTTGCATTTGAAGTTGGACAAGGAGAAGAAGAGGCAGAAGCAAATGATGAGATTCCCGTGTTCCCTCACTTAAAGACTATAGGACTTAGGGACTTGCCAAACCTGAAAAGTTCCGAAGAAGAAACACAAGAATCCCGACTACAAGCCCTCATCAACCACAAGGTATGTTTATGTCTTAACTCTTAATTAACCATACATATATGGGTACCGAAGATCCATCTAAATTGTTAGAACCTTTCCAGCTTCACAAAGCTATCACATAGAAATTATAATAATTTCCAATGCTCCCTCTATCAAATTAAACTCTTTAATTTTTTTACTCTCTTATTCTCTCTCCTCCCAATACCTGGTACGTATTCCCTTTATTTTTCTTCTCCACAATGGTGTCTACGCATAGCCGCTTATATCCCTAGTAAAATTTACTAATTTGTTGTTTCACTTAATCAATTATTTATTCAGAGATAGGATTATATTTATAGTATGAAATTACGAAATTATATATAATCAATACATATTTTGATTTTCTTGTAATATTCTGAAGTTTTCTACATACTTCACTTAGCTTGGAAATAAAAATAAATGACAAATTGGATGCATCATTCCATATCTGGTGGAATCATTAATAAATTAGGAACTACCATGTGAAAAAATAATAAAAAATCAAAGCATTAGTGGTGAAGCACATGTTAATTTGTAATTAAGTGGATACTAAGAAGCATTTGGAAGATCTCAACAGGGTCAATGTAAAGACAATAGGGAAGGTTTATATCTGTTGAAAGTTAAGTAACATGAAGCCGGAGCGGAAGCGAAAGCGGGAGAATGTCAAATCTAAAAAAAATTGAAACCGGGAGTGCCTTGAGAGCGTCAATATATTGACTTATATGTACTTATTCTGCTTAATGCATTATTATTTTTATTTATTAAATATTATTTTATTAATTTTTAAAAATAATATATTTAAAAGTAATGAGATATTTACAAATTATTATTTTTATAAATAAAAACTACAAAACAATAGTTATAATTTTTAATTGCGTTCAATATCGTAAAGGCCAGTGGAAGTTTATATTGCTTCTTAACAAAAGGATTCTAGGTTCAATTCTTATTTTCTGCACTAACTACTTATTTTTACTCATTTTTTGAGCCAAATATACCCGCATAAGGGTAATTCGCGAATTTAACCGAACTCAAACCAATTATAGATTTGAATTCGTGATCTCTAGAATTTGAGTTCGTGAATTTTGTGTGAATTCACTCCCAACTCAACAATTTGCGTGCGAAGCGTGAGAGTAAAAACAAAACCTGAAGAGCAAAAACAAAACCTGATGAGCAAATTATGTAACTTAGGTTGAGAGATTGAAGCTACGTATGCTTCCCTCCACACCCTTCTCTCTTTGTTTTCTCTGATGACTAATATTTGAGTTACTAATATCATAGTAGTTGTTAGTAACACTATTATATTGATGTTTTTACAGGTCAGATTTCCTAGTTTGGAGAAGTTGATGATATGGTAGGATGTTATTCAAAGATGTGGGGTGGACTCCATCCATCAGTAAAATATATATATATATATATATATATATATATGGGCGGTGTGTGCAAGAGTGTGTGAATGTATCAGCGAAGTAAGTGTCTAAGTAAATAAATGTTTGCCCCCTACCCCCGCCCAAAATAAAAAATAAAAAAAAAAAGGAAAAAAAAAAACTAAAAAAAAAAGGGCAAAAAAAAAAACTGTTGGGTGAGGCATACACAATTGTTTATCAACAGAATATGCTATTTGTTGTTGTAATTACTCTATGTTATGTGCATCTTTGAGTGGAAATTTCCTTTAATTATTATTATTTTTCAAATAGTGGAATTTTGTCACTTAGTCTCATAATCTTTCTCTCGTTTATTGTTGGAGGGTTTTTCCAAATTAAATATGTACAGATAAAAAGGTAATTTAGTAAATGCAAAACTAAGTAGAAAAATTGAAATCAACTAAACTGGAACCAATAAGAATTTAACTGGTGTATCTTTTTCATCTACATGAATTATGTACATATTACAATAAATAGTTATACAGAATTATGATAAAAGGCTTAAAAACAAAAAAGTAAGATAAAAATAAGTAAAAAAGAAGGAAATTAACAACATTATCAATGAGAGATTGAGAGAATCCAAATATACGCTAGGTTGAATCAGTTGACTCACATATTTTTGAAAAGCTAAAACTAAATTTTCAAATTATATGAAAAGAAATTATTTTCAAATTATACATATTAACTTTATAACCGATTTAAAGTAAGTTATAATAACATGGGGAAACACAAATACTTAAAAAAGCACACAAATATACTGAAAGGAATAGAAATTATAAGATTGTGGAAACACAGACAGAGAAAAAGAAGATTTGTTATGTCACTGAAATTCAAAATAATGGCAAGTGATCCCATTATATTAAAAAAAAAAAAAAAAAAAAAAAAATTGTGCGGGGCTCTTCACGTCCTAAATATATATATTTTTTTTAGAAAAAAAAAAAAAAAAAGTGTGAACCCGCCATGTGGCACCACACCAACCACCCAAGTCTCACTACAATCTCTCGCCCTTGCCACTTTTGGTTACTTATTGGATGCTCTTAGCGAGAGTTTTTACTAGATAAGTTTGGCTAGTTGATTCAATTTTCTAATAATGGTATCTATTTTTTGAAAATTAAAAAAAAAAAAATCACAAAAAAATAGTATAAATATTTACTTGGCTGATAGTTTTTTTGAAAACTCTTTAAAAAGAATTGTTTTCAAAGAATTATCTTTTATAATTTTTTATTTTCTAAGTTCTTAAAAATTGTTTAATGAGTAACAAACCAAATAAGTCACATTTCTGAATTCACATTGCTAGTAAAAACGAGAATAAAGGGTTTTCCCAAATTAGATATATTTTCTTACCCATGCCTAACCACAATGGCACCAACGAGGCATTACATCATATGGTAAAATCTATTCGAGTCCTATAAGAAGCAATATTATGGGTATGTGTGTGTTGGCATATACCTTTTATGTTCATTACCACGGACTTCTTCGGAGTACACATTTAATGTATGTTAGTAATACAAAATATTCTCTGGTTCCTTTCTTTTTTTTCTTTTTCTTTTTTGTAACTTTAACAAGTTACTCACAGACACACTTAATCTCTAATGTGACTTGAATTCTACACTTTCTACTTTTATTGAAAATTCCACTTGGTGGTATATTCTATATTGGTATGCATATGTATACCAACCTATATCTCCCAATACTCTTTAACCTAGCAAAATCATTTCATTCAAAACAGAGGAATCAAAGATCCAAACATAACTCCTCCCAATATTGCATTCTTAAAGAGTAAGAAAAATCCCTCTCCAGTGTAGAGGTTTCCTGTTCGTTCAGGGTTTGGGAGCCTTCGGTCTCCAGTGTTTTTTGTGTGTTTGTGTCATCTCTAGATCCTTCGATTGGCTTTATTCTTGCTCAGGTTAAGACTTTGTGCAGTGTGTGTCTTCTTATTTTGGCTTTGTTGTTCAGTGGCTTCTGGTTAGGGCAAGGATGGTTTCTTTCCGTTTCTGGCATGGTTTTCAGGTGTTTTCTGTTGTCACTTTGGTCATCTTCGTTAGTTGATCGGTTTTTTGTTTGTTGCTCCGTGGTTTTTGGCTTACTTTAGGGTTGGATGGAGAGGATCTCGTGGTGTCGGCACTGATTTCCATTCCGGCATTGTAGGCTCGGCAGTGTTGATTCTATGGTTCTCCAGTGTAGCCACGTAGCGTCTTATGGTTCATCTATTTTATGTTGAATTGAGTTTCTCTGTGGTTTACATGTTTTGTGGATTGGCCTTCTATTTGTTTAGGCTGTGGGGGTGTGTTCTTGGGTTTTGTTGCTGGGTTTTTCCATTTTAGTTTGGTCTTTGTGACTTGCAGGACAGCTCCTAGTGCATTGCAGGCCCTTTTTTAGATGTTGGGTGATGAGCACTGAAAAATGCGTATTTAAACCCCTTAAGTTTGAGTATTATAGTACCTTATTCTATCTTATTTTTCCGTTTTAGTTTAATTTCGTGTTATTTCCCATTTCAGGTCAAAAAAGTTAAACGGGCTAAAAATGGCTTCTTAAGACCTTTTTGGAGTCAAACTAAGTCTTGGTGAGAATTTGGAGCAAAAGGAGGCTAATTTGGAGCAAAAGGAGGCTGATGCTGAAAAACTGCCAAGTCTGATCAATAAAAAAAAAAGTCCGATCGATCGAACCAACTCTGATCGATCGAAGAAAAGTTGGATTGATCAAATTCTACTCAATCGAAGATATTTTGGATCAATCGAAAATGTGATGGCAGTGAGCTGTCTTATCCCCGCACGCCTGAACTCCACTTACCACATAGTTGCGGGATTAGATATTTTTAGGCTGTATTTCTGACTTAGTGACTAAGAAAAAGACCTTGTATTTAAAAGGAATTGAACTATTTTGCAATAGAGCTTTTTATCATTTTATTTTTTACATTGTAATTTTATTTTCTCTCTCTAGAAAAGTTAGAGATTAGGGTTAGAAGAAAAGAGAAAAGTGGAGGCTCCAAGAACACATCTCAAGATCTACACACACTCTCTCTCTCTAGAATTCAACAAAGAAGAAGAGGAAGAAGATGGAGCCATGTTTGGGGATTGCCCTTGAGGGTTCCAAGATCACACCCACTTCCTCCATGATTGGCTATACTTCTCCTTGGGGCTTGGATGAGCCCTAAGTTTGTAATCAAAACCTCTATCTTTTTCATACTTTTTAGGGAATAATATCTTGTTATTAATATTTTAGCCTTGTGAATTTAATGAATCTTGGTATATTTTTATGATTTCTATGATTTAATTCTTCCTATTAATTCTCTAATTTATTTACATGTTTATGTGTGATTAAATTGGGAATTATATCTCACATGATTCATATGGTTTAATTCTTCCTATTAATTCTCTATATAATTACATGTTGTCTTATGTGTGATTATTTGGGAATTGATTTCTACACTAGTTTTTCTATATTAATTACATGTCTATGCATGGTTGATTGAGAATCTAGTTTTAACAACCTGAACCCGAGGGTTCGAATCATTAACCGAGTTCTTACCCGAATCCGAGGTTGTCTAAGGGAACTATGGTAAGTTCTAAGGTCGATACATAATGTACGTGTCATTCCGAAACTTATACAAAACAAATGAAATCGCAAATATAAAAGATAATAAAACATTCCACTAACTCATTCAAACGTATGGAGGAACGTCATCCGCCACTTCCTTCCGTATCCTGAAAAATGTTAATAATAATGGAGTGAGCATAAAACTCAGTAGGAAGCGTCTAACACGCACTTCTTACGACCCTGTGAATCCATACAATGAATAGGATACGAGAGAACGGCATCATAGCTCAGGAAAAATAAGCAAAGCAATGATAATATCAACAGACTATATTTCCACAGTACTTGCATCAATTTTGTGCGATTTAAATTTTTTCCCCAACAAAATAGTTGTATATTAAAAAAAAATTAGAATTTATTGGTCAGTGAAATTAAGAGTAGAACTAATATGTAATATACTATTTTTTTTTTTTTTTTAATGCTTGGACTATTTATAGTCACAAAGAGACATTTTCTATATTCTCTCTTTCTATTTAAGTTTAAATATTATACCTTGGGAAATTGCATTTTTTTATTATTAAGTGGACTAGTGGAGCTTAATAATGGGTCAACTTTTCAATGTATTGTGTTAGAAACTTATAATCTGGAATAAGTTAAGCTCATGTTTCACATGCGTGATGCATTTAATGTCACATTAGTCATTACATCAAATATAATTATAATGCACATATATATCTATATATATATTTCTATATGTTCGTATATATTTAGAGTATGGTGTATTATTTTGAAATTAGATGGCAGATTACACCACATGGTATACATACAAAATGTGTTTCTCATTTCCAATGAGGAAAAAGAAGAGGAGGAGAGAGTCAAGTCAATAGTTGTGAATTGAATAGAGAGTATATGTTAGCATCAGCCTGAGAGGAACAAGCATGCATTTGAGAGGAATTTGGTCTGAGAGGAACAATCATGCATTTAAGAGGAAGGTCAAACAGTTTTGAACTAGTCTATGCGATACACTGTATCTCTGTATCTAAATTGGCTTTGTTTTGGAATATTTTTGGGATAATATGGGGTCGATCTATCCTTGGTTAAATGTAGGGCTCATTCCTATTGTTTATTGATAAGGAAATAGAAAAAATAAAATTAAAAATTATACAAAAATTGTTTCTTAGTTGTTCTATGGTTATTGATGATAAATAAATAGTTGAGTATCTTCTTTTCATAAAGACTGTTTGGAATTGATGTTTTCAAAAATCTTAGCGTGGAATGGGTTGGAAAGACTTACAAGGCAAAGAATATATACATGATGTTTTTTAGTTGACAAAATTTAATGCAATGGATCACAGGTTATGTTTCCTGTCCTGGAGCATTTGTACATTGATGGATTGAATAGCATTAAAGCGATATGGGACAAGCAATTACTCCCAGACCTGGAAGTTGGAGATTCTTTTAAGCATCTTCAAGAATTGCGTGTGCGTAATTGTAAGGAGATGGAAGAGATACCTGCATTTGAAGTTGGACAAGGAGAAAAAGAAGCGGAAGCAAATGATGACATTCTCGTGTTACCTCACTTAAGGACTATACGATTTGGGGACTTGCCAAACCTGAAAAGATCCAAAAAAAAAAAAAACAGAAGCATCCCGACTACAAGCCCTCGTCAATCACAAGGTACGTTTATGTCTTAACTCTTAATTAACCATACATATATGGGTATTGAAGATCCATCTATATTGTTAGAACCTTTCAGCTTCACAAAGCTATCATATAGAAATTATAATACTTTCCTATGCTTCCTCTATCAAATTAAACTCTTCAATTTTTTTACTCTCTTATTCTCTCTCCTCCCAATACCTGCTGGTACGTACTCCCTTTATTTTTCGTCTCCACAATGGTGTCTTCACATAGCTGCTTATATCCTTAGTAAAATTTACTAATTTGTTCTTTCACTTAATCAGTTTTATATTCTGAGATAGGATTATATTTATAGTATGAAATTACGAAATTATATATAATCAATAAATATTTTGATTTTCTTGTAATTTTTTGAAGTTTTCTACATACTTGACTTTGCTTGGAAATAAAAACAAATGACAAATTGGATGCATCATCCCATATCTGGTGGAATCATTAATAAATTAGCAACTACCATGTGAAAAAATAAAAAATAAAAAACATTAGCGGTGAAGCACATGTTAATTTGTAATTAAGTGGATGTTGGTATTTTGAATGAAAATTGCCAAAGGGTTGTATTGTACTTAAAAGGTGCAATAAAGGGTTGTGAGAGGAAGAGATGCAAGCCAAACTTATGTCTATTCAAAGTGAATAGCCACACCCAAAGTGAAT